GAAAAGTTCTATGGCTAGACCATAGGCTACTAAAGTGGTGAAAGCTATACCTCAATCAAAAGTGAGGTCAACACGGGTCAACCTAAAAAAATATTAAAGTGGACAACAAAGGTTATTTAAGTGGAACTGCGAACTTTACGAATCTCGAAATATTTCAAAATAATTTCTGCAGTTATTTTGGGGTTACTGAAATGAAATCTATGAGTTTTTCTTTAATAACTATGAATAACCCCGAAATAACATATGTGGTGTTATTTTAGGGTTATTGAAGTAGAATAACCCTCCTATGGCTAGACCCTAGGCTACTAAAGAGGTGAAAACTAGACCTCAATCAAAAGTGAGGTCAACACGGGTCAACCTAAAAAAATATTAAAGTGGACCGCAAATGTTATTTAAGTGGAACTGCGAACTTTACAAATCTCGAAATATTCTCAAAATAATTTTTGCAGTTATTTTGGGGTTATTGAAGTGAAATATATGAATTTTTCTTTAATAACTCTGAATAACCCCGAAATAACATCTGTGGTGTTATTTTAGGGTTATTGAAGTAAAATAATCCCGAAATAATCCTTTGAAGTGAAATAACCCTCAAATAACACCAAAATAACCTCCGCAGCTTTACTTCAAAAACCCTACAATAACCTCTGAGATGTTGTACACATGGCGACATATTAATGAAAGTCCGCACGTAAAGCTACGTCCAGAGTCTGGATAGAAAATTTCTCCTAATGACGACCCTATAAAAGATGAAGAGAGAGAGAGAGGGAGCCATAACATAATATTTGAGGCATAAATTAATTGTTTCCGGACCTTCATGTATAATAAAAATGATTTGGAACTCCATAGTTAAAAACTCATAAAATAAAATTTATGTATTCCTTCATGTATAATAAAAATGATTTGGAACTCCATAAAACTCATAAAATAAAATTTATGTATTATTAATAAAACCCTGAACCCTAAAATCCATCTTCCCCGTCCCGAAACACTTGCCTCACCGCACCTCAAAAGGCAACGGACGGATCCCGACGCACGAGGACATTCGAAACTTTTATCTTTGTCCTCCTTCCGCTCCGCTCTTACCCGAAAACCATTGAGGAAGGATCCTTCGTCTTTCTCCCCTTCGTCCCACCCGCCTCGCGCGATTCAGCTTTTCTAAATACCCTAAATCCGTTTTATAACGGGATTTGCTGATCTAGGAAAAACGGGATATAAGATGTCAATTTTGCTGTTTGGCAGGATTTAGGTTAAATCCGGCTATAATCCTGCTCAAATCCTGCTATCAAAGAGCCCGTTACTCGGTTTTGGATCAAGCGAAATACTCGGTTTTCTTACTTTTGTGAGTATTATTATTTTTCCGGGTTTCTCAAATGATTTCCGCTCTTTGCTGGGTGCCCAAAGGGGCATCCAAGATTGTTCCTGTGGTCGCCGAGCCTCCATCGAAAGAGGAAATTGAGGAGTTCTTGCAGACGGGGGTGTTGGAGCGAAAGTGAGCCCTCTCGTAGTATTCTTTGGTTCATGTGAGTAAAAAATTATCTTATTTCTGATGACTTAGGGTTTTATTGCGTGGACAGGGGTGATGTTGATGAAGAGGAGGATGAGTACATGGACATTAATGACATCAATGCTTCCGAGGAGATGGACGAAGTTGCCCTTGCACAGGCGGCAGCCAAGGCTCTTAATCAAACCCAGGCAGGCAGGGAATCAAAGGATGTACAAGCGGTTTCTGTTGGTATTGGGGAACTCAACATGGATGCTTATGATGATGAGGATGATGGTAAAACCTTATTTCTTCTGTTAAAATAGTAAAAAAATTCAGTTTGGTTTCATGGCCTTGTTTTTTTAGGCATCGAGCTATTTGGTAGTGGTATCGGGGACTCTTACTATCCGAGTAATGACATGGATCCCTATCTGCAAAACAAAGGAGTAAGTAAGATGTCTGAACTTGTAGAATTTGAATATCCTGTTATTGTTTAGAGAAATTTACATACACAACACACAATTCTTATGTTCCATTTCTGATACCCAAACTTTGATATTTATGTGTATAACACTTTCTTGTTTTGAACTATGCATGAAAAGGTGTATTTCAATTTTAAAAGCCCTTAATAGTGCTGTTTTTGTTGTGATATTAAAGATTTTAGTGCTATGTATGTAAGTATGAAAGTTTAGGTGTGAGATATGTAAATGTGTAAGAATTATGTGCTATGGATGTGCCCATATTTTTTATTACTTGATGTGAAGTGTGCCATTTGAAACAACACGGACCAGGATGATAGTGATGATGATGATGATGATGATGAGATAGAGGACATGACCATTAAACCTACCGATTCCGTTATTGTTTGTGCACGTAATGAAGATGAAGTCAGTCATCTTGAGGCAAGTTTCTTTTTCTTGATCAAGTTATTGTTTTAGGAGAGACATAGTGAAACCAACTTATTTATCTCGTTTGATTAACTAGATGTGTTGCTTTTAAAGTTAATCTTTTTATCTGTTCTTGTATGCCTCAATAGTTTTCATGATGGTTGATCCTATTTTTGAGATGCAACAATAGTTATTAATCCCATTGCGAAGATGTTGTTTGTTGTGATCCTTTGCAAGCGATATGTATATTTAGGATGCAAAAAAAGAAAAGGATAAATTGTCTTGATTTCTTGAGCATTTTTTATGGTCTTTTTATAGAACATTAAACGCTTGATTGAGAAGAATCTTTTCACGGGGATTTCTTGATGACACTGTTAACATTGAAGAATACAATCAACCTTAGTAATCTTATTATCATTAATAATAATAAATCATTTTATTTTTATTGTCTCATTAGTAAAAAAGAAGTTGATGAGGTTTTAAAGAAAATGAAAAATCAGTAGGACATGATGATATCCCAATTGAAGTGTGAAAATATATATTAGATTTGGGAGTTTTTAGGTTTACTAAACTCTTTATCATTTTTTTAAAAACTACTAAGATTCTCAAGTGGAGGAAGGGTATTTTGGTCCCATTTTTAAAAATAAATGGGATGCATAAGAGTGTGCAAATTATAGAGGAATTAAGTTGATGTGTCATACTTCAAAATTATGGAAGAGGGTAATTGAACATGTTAAGAAGTTAGGTTAAGACGTGACACAGATTTCTTATAATCAGTTTGGATTTATATCGGGCAGGTCTACCATGGAAGTCATACATTTATTGGGAGATTTGATGGAGAAGTATAGAGAAAGGAGAATATATGGTTTTTATTTCTTTAGAAAAAGCTTATGATAAGGTTCCAAGAGAGTTCTTTTGCAGGTTTTAAAGCCTTTGGAGAGTTCTAGAGAAAAAATGTGTTGATATGACTTATGTTCAAGTCATTAGAGATATGTATACTAGAGCCATTACTTGTGTTCGAACATAAGGAGGATTGACCAAGTATTTTCCTATTTCATTTGGATTACATCATCGATCGAACATGGATTGGCTTTCAACCCATATCTTTTTACTTTAGGTATGGATGCTCTTGCTGGACATTTATAGGAGGATGTATCTTGATGTATGCTTTTCGCTGATGATATTTTTCTTGTGGATAAGACTAGAGAAAAAGTTCAGAGAAAACTTGAATCATGGAGGTTTATTTTGGATTCTAAAAGCTTTCGTTTGAGTAGATTTAAAATTGAATATGTGGAATGTAATTTTAGTAGTAGTAATAGTAGCTGTAGTAACAAAGTTGTAATCATGGGTGATCAAATTATTAAAAGGTGTTAACATTTAGATATCTCGGGTCTATTTTTTCAAAGTGATGGTGGTATAGATGTGGATGGTATTAGTTGAAATCCAGTTGGGTGGTTGATCAAGTTGGTTGGTTGAAGTGGTGTGGTGGAATGCATCAGACCTATTGTGTGATAGAAAAGTATCACTTAAGCATAAAGGAAAATATTATAAGATGGTTGTGAGATTGCAATGCTCTATGACGCAGAATGTTGGTCTTTAAAAGATGAGCATAAAGCAAAGTCACATGTTGTTGAGATGAGAATGCTTCGGTGGATGAGTGGCTTGACACTAATTTATTTGTGGTATGTTTGGTGTTGCTCTAGTGGCGATCAACATTATAAAGAGTCGTCTTAGATGGTTTGGTCACATTAAACGTTGACCATCTGATGATCCAGTTAGGAGAGTAGGTGTTTTAGATTTGACTTATGTTTGGAAAGACAGAGGTAAATCTAAAAAGTCTTGAGAATGTTGTTTAAAAAATGATCTTAATTAGAATTAAATGAACCTATGACACTCAATAGGACACAATCAAAAAAAGGTCTCATGTAGCCGATCCCACTTGATGAGATAAAAGCTGCTTGTTGTTGTTATTGTACTGTTTACATTGAAGAATAAGTCATAAGTTCATTGATGAAGATGAATCATCAATTGAATGCCAATCAATCAAGATTTGTAAGATAAAATTCAAACCTTGGGCTAATCCTAGATGATTTTGGATAGGTTTTAATCTAAGTTTGGGCGTGCGTTACTTGACTTTTTGAAATATAAATTCATCCCTTAAAATGTAGAAGTGGAAGTTAAATCAAATCTTGCTATAATGGTGATTTAAAGGCCTAAATTTTCTTCTTATGAAAGAATTTAAATCAAATCTTGCTATAATGGTGATTTAAAGGCCTATGAAAGAATTTTAAATTTTTTCTTATTTGATCTTTTCCTCTTTCTACTTTTACATTGACTCCGCTTGTAGGTTTTGTAGGCTATGCAACAATATTGTCAATGGTTGGGCTAACATTCTTAGCTTCATCAATGTTATCATTGCCATTGATCCACTAGCGACTGTTGGCCATTCACTACCAATTGTTATAAAAAATTAACATATGCATTATTATTTTTCAACAATCTTTGTTGCTTTTAAAGAGAGCATAAAACTTAAAATTTCAAGTATTTCATGGAAACTTAATCCCTTATCCGAAATAAATTTTCACCTGGCCTAAAACTCTCACACGTCAAAATTTTTATCATTTTTTGGTATCCTAGTGCTCGTTCCAACTAGTAGAAAGTTTTTTTTCATGGTTAATTATGAGGAATGATTTCCTTGGTGATTTTACTGAGTAGGAAGAGTATAACTATGAGGTGAGATTATAATGATTGAAGATTATCTTTTCAAGGTGAAAGATGAAATGATCAATCAAATTGTTGATCAGAGCCTATCAAAAGGTCTTGACGAAGGAATAAATTGTCACAGTATTGACTACCTTTGAAACTTTGCTTACTACGACGACATTATCAACATTTGCTCAATAACAACTTGCTACAATAAAGGGAAAATCTTCATGGAATTTTGATCACAACCTATGAAAAGGCCATGATGAAGGAATAAATTGTCACAATAATGACTGCCTTCGAAAGTCTAGTGCAGGCGATGACAAGATCCGTGTTTGATGGGTGAGAAAGAGATAAAGACCCGCTCAAGCGTGCAAAACCGAGACAAGTCTCCGTGAGACCTACAAAAATGACCCATGACATTGTCAAGAGGCCCAACGATCTTTTAGAAATCGATCGGCTGCTCTATGATTGGTCAAAGAACTTCTATACCTTCCGCTCGCAGGAAGACATGGAGTTAGTATAACAAATTATCTAGGAGAGGATTTCTCTTCGTTAGCGACAAGATCTGCAAAATGGGAGCAATAGTCACCATTGAAAACCCTGGTAATCACCCTCTCAGGTAACGACAAGATCAGTGCTTGGAGGAAAGATTGATCGGTGCTGATATCCACTCAAAAAGACGACACAACGCAAACATCCAAAAGAAACGCAAGTCAAACCGACAGAGACACTGTGATTAATTGGTTTCTCAGAATCCATGAGCACCCAGTCAAAAACAAAAATGCTTTCTTTTTTTTATAATCCAAAAGGCGAAGGTGATCATGTTGATGCAAAAGTTTCTTTTTATTAATGTGAAGAAAGAATTACTAGGCTTTTTGTATAATGCTAACAAGCTTTTAGGTAAAAAAAAAAAAACCCTATCGAGTGATGGATTGGTCCTCACTTTGACCACCGAAAGATTCACCCCCACTACACGAACCATCACCTTCCTCCAAGGCATCAACAAGACCATCGGGGATCAAGGCTCTGAATTCGGATGGGTCAGAAAACTTCAGGTCGACCAAACTGTGGTGATTGAACCACTGGGTAGCATACTCGATCCCCAACCTAAGTTGTTCTGTCAACGCCTTTCGGGGGAGGAGCGACTTCAATCTCTCCTTAAGTTCGGCGTCATCCATCCTTCTTCAGCTGCTCCTTTGTTCAGATTGCTGCTACTTCAACTTCGGGAAGTCTCGGTCGTCACGAGCCCTTTGGAGATCATTGGTAGACGGGCTACCTCTTCCCAAGACTTTAACAAGCTCTCCTTGGCTATCCTTGGGGAATCCACCTTTTTATGAAGGCAAAAACCAAGGAATGGGAAGCCTGGCTCGACTCCAGGTGCAGTCGAGCGACGCGCTCGAGAAGTCTCTCATATGAGAGCCCCTTGAGCTGACAATGATCTCTATCAAGCTGGACCGCTCCGCCGCTCCGCCTGAAACGTCGAAGTCCAAGTCATTTCCACTAAATGAGGTGGCATGCGCCGAGTATCAACTGACAGGGGATGTTAATCCTTCGAGACATCCAACAAGCTGAATCGCTCGCCATCACTAATCCATAGCCATCCTTCACCCCCTTCTAGCGAACGCCATCCTCTGTCCACCTGTTTTATCTTCAACGAAAGAAGGGCCGAAACGTTAGCACCCTCCACCAGCTCCTTCCCTTCTCAGTAGACGGTTTCCCCCTCTGTATACGACGAGGATTCAGAACCAAAAGAAGAAATATAACCCTCCTAAGTGGAATCAACTGAAGCGATAAGTGGCTCAGCCGCCCTAGCCCTCTCAACCAAAGCCAAGTGGGTGGCATCGGGTCGGGCATTCAGTGGAGAAGCGACGACCAAATCATTTTGCATGACGAAGGAAGTATCTACATGTCAACCCCCCTTTGAGCTTCCTTGGAGCCCATTCTCGCTCCTTCGCCTTGCCCTGCAGTAACCGAATGAGATCGCAATTATAGTTAACTCATCGGTCATTGTTTCTTGAACGAAAACCGTTATCTCAATAATGAAAGTTATAAATCGTTTGATACCAGAGCACGCGACATTAATAGTGGTATATGTCATAAAGTTTTGACAGGAGGAATCAACCTTCAACTTCCGCCGCTGCTTTTACTTGGCCGCTTTTGCTCTGGCGGCCTCGTCAGCGTCCAAAACCCTCAAATCGCCCAGGGTCATCTTCCCTTCCATCACCCGGTCCACCGTCATTTCCGCAGTACACTGAAGAACAGACATTGGACTCCCTTCCAACATCTCCTGGACATCCTGCAAATCTGTTGATAAGGCCCTCAGCTTACTACCTGCCACCCCTACGGGCGAGTGACAATCTCCCAGTCGCAAACGAAGTTTTCGCCAGTCCTTGATCTTGTTTTCGACACCAAGCAAACGAAGCTTTCACCCAGGCGAAAATATGACAAACCCCTCTTTATCGGTCTTGAATGAGTAGTGACTAAAAATGTCGATCACCAGTGGATACTAAAACGATGACAGAACATGATGAAAGTCATGATGGCCACAACGAATTTCGACAAAACTTGTGTCGGAATGACCCCGTACTTGGTAATCACACCTTTGAGCTCTGGCCATAGGGGCAACCGAGGCCGAACTTAAACTGATCCTGGTAAAAGACCAGATCAGGGTTAATATCATCTGTCGGCGCCCCGCGGTCGGAGTCCTGTCGAGGGTAATCTGGGTACCTGAGTAGTAACACTCCTGAAGGCTCTTTACCTCCCGACCTGTCAGAAAGGAGGAATCGACTGCCCACAATGGTGCTGAAGAGAAACGAAGAATAATTTGGAGCCATTAAAGTTGAACGAAAATAACATAACAAAAATATTATTTTATTACAAATAACATTATTACAAATTTCAAACGAAGTGTTTAATAAATGGGTCTTCTGTGGCTTCAAACAGGGATGCCCCTTCTGAAGCAACCTCTAGAGGACTATCTCTCCACCAAACCTAATTTGCTCCATCCGACCAACCTCGTTACTGAAATGACATGGAACTGGAAAATCGCGGATGCATCTCATCTCGGCACGATCGTCATTCAGGGAACCTCAAAGCAACGCGACCTCCTTCTCTAGTCGTGCGACAACAGCCGATTGCTATTGAAAGGCGGTCTCTAAACGCTCGTAAGAGGCCGGACACTCTAGCTCGGATGGGTTGGCAGGGTTTTCAGCTGTCTGGTGCAGAACCTCTGCCATCTCTTACACTTGGCATGTCGCCAACCTAGGATGAAGTCTCCGACACAAGATTTGTTCTTGTTGGGAGCTTTTGCCTGCGTCGATCAACGACAAAGGAGGGGCAATCGCATCAAGGGGCCCAACGGCAACAACAGGGAGTTAGTCAACCACATCTCTCGATGGCCCGCCATCTTCGATATTCTTTGTCCAGATCGACACATCTGCATTTAAAAAAAATGTCAAGTTACTACGCCAGCTGAAGTCAAAAGTAATTTATTACATATCCATGAACCTCTTGGGGGAATACCTCCCTCCCTCGTTAGGGTGCCACATTTCCTTTCCTCCGGGGACAACAACGAAGGGTCAACAACTCACCACCAGCCTCCACTCTTGGGCTTCTGCGATCGTCATCAGGCTCCTCCCTAGATATGGTCAGCCTCCACTCTTGGGCTTCTGCGATCGTCATCAGCCTCCTCCCTAGATATGGTCAACGGGTCTACCGCAACCCTCACCTTGCTCGGGCCAGTATCCATGGTTTCTCAGAGAAGCCTCTTTTGTTACTGCGCTTCGAGCCCCTCGAAAGAAGCAACCTGATCGGCCGACACCGGACCGACTGACTTTCCTCTCTTCTCTCTTTTAACCAGCTTCTTCCTTTCAAGGCCAGATGCCAGAACAGGAGGGGGATGTCTCACTAAGGCCAATAGGCTCGGGTTGACTGTCTTTTTGCTCGTACCTCCAGACATGATGTCTACTCAGCAACTCAAAAAATAACAACAACAGATAAATAGCCCAATTCATGGCCTTATTATGAGACATGCAAGGCATGTAAATAAAAGGAGAACTAATTATTAAATTCTTCTTTTTCTTTTTGATCTTCATGATATGATTAACTAATAATTTTTCTGTCTTTATTGCAACTGTTGCCTCCAAGGAGCAGGAAAACTTGAAGAACTACTATATATACAACAAAATTACTAGCACGAATCTCAAAAAGAGCAAACTACTGAGAATACGAAGCTTTTCTCCGAGGAAAGCGATCTACAAACAATTAAACGTGAAGCATGAGAATCCGCGTCTCTAAACTTTGGATAGGCCAAATCTCCGGAGATGGTCCCCCTACTCGGTAGCGGGAATATCCTCCAACGGTAAGACGCAATCATCCCGACAATGAGTGTCGTCGGATACTCTGCATAGACAACGATAAGATCCGCCCTCAAGGCTTTGCGGGAGGGGAGATCCGACCAAGGCGACGACTCGACCAGACAGAAGTCCCAGGTTCTGTAAGACTTGAGCCAAACATAAAGTGGGCTATGGCTCGCTAAACGAAATAGGTTGACCCATCAGTCGACCAATCGACTGAAGCGACAAGTCCCACAAAACCGATCAGTCAGACTTCTTGTCAAGATAGCCGACCTTATTCACACCAGCCAATCACTCTCTCTTGGTATATGCGGATATTAGTCTACAATCGATCCCCTGTCGGCCGACTACATTTACTTAAAACTAATAAGTTATTGTAAAACGTTAGTCTCTGCCGATATTATGACGATCATTAATTCAAATTATACGAATAAATTCTATTAAGAGTGGTTACCATAACAGTTTCCAATTTCCTTAATTGTACGAGTGGTTACCATAACAGTTTCCAATTTCCTTAATTATACTAATTAGACCCCTTTAAGTAGATGTTCTAATGAGGAATAAAAAAACCGGCTCTTGAACTTCTTCTGGGGAAATTACTGTGCTCTCTCTTTCTCTCACCTCTCTAGATTCCGACTCTCGGGGTGTGCTCATCAGAAGACAAGTTAGGATTCAACATGTCTTCTGATGAGCACACCCCGAGAGTCGGATTCATGAGT